ATGAATTAGTGTCATGAACAATATCAATGCCATTGTTTGAATAACATCGAATCAATAATAATATTGATAGATTACACCTAAATAGCATCAACATAACAATAAGCTGAATGTCAGAAATATTAGGAAAGATAATATTATAAATTCATGAGTTTATACTCTCTACTGAAAACCAGCCAGGGCAGTAGTAGTGGCTAGCTGGACTTGCTTCTTTTGAACACAGAGCACTGGTTGTTTGAGGCGAATTGCAATAGCCTCTGCTGTTTGGAGCAGATGATTTTGGTAATTTGTTAGGCACCCGGTATATAATAGAGAAGGATTCTCCCACGCTGGCTTTGTGACCGATTTGCACCAGATGGTCCAATAGCGAACTGTTAATAGTTTTAACTACACCTTTACTTAGTCATTGTGGGATATGTTCTCGAGCACGAAAAATCAGGTTCCTAGAGCAACGGCCAATATAACTCGCTCCACCACAAGCACAGTTGAATTGGTAGATACTATTTGAAGTGGCTACCTAGTCTAGGTAATTCATCTTTCAGTCGAGGTAGCACCATCAGTCATGTAGAGAATAATACGTGTAGTTCGCCAGCAATAGAAGTTCTCTGAACTGATTTTCTTAATTTCTTCGTAATTATCTCACTTGGTATATCGCCCATGAATTTTAGTCGTATATAAAGTGGCTTCTTGTTTACAGACAGCGAGTAGTGCTTTTCCGCTTTCTTTGTCATGTGTTTCTTCATAAATTTTTCGAGATAGCCATATTCGATCAAAGTATCATATACAATGCTCAATTCATCTTTAATTACTTCTTCTGAGCATATAGCTCTAACTCTGTGGCTGAGGGTCTTCATTAAGTTTCTTTTGTACTTGATCGGAAAGAAGCTGTGAAAATGTGTGTATATTGTCCTGTCCAAGTACTTTTGGTATGCAAATTTCTTTTTATGCTACCATTTCGTTTTCTTGTAAGGAGGACATCCTTTAAAATTATCAGTAGAAAAAAAAGATCAATTCCGAATCAAACACACCAACAGCTTTATTCCAAACAGTATGCTTTTGGTACAAATATGGAATTTTTAGCATGTAGTATTACAGTATTGCATCTAATATTCTCATTACAGGGGTAATAATTAAAACAGGGAATTTATATTGATATTATTGTTCATTAAGAATATGAATCTCAAATTAAAATTTCAGTGAAAATATTACATAATGATGTAATAATGAAAAAATATAGGCCCGTTTACTTAGAGTTCCTCAGTAAGTTGGTATTTTTCCGCCTTACACTTTTCTCACCACATAAAATGTGTGCCAGACAAAATAAGTTAGGGCTTTTGTACTTAGGTTGAGCAAGAATCCAATAATATATAATGTTATCTTTGCCTGATAATGACTAGTAGTGGATTTCAAGAGGCTTATTTCATCCTATTTGGGACTCATCAGCTAGGTATGTACTTGTGGTGTTCCCAGTTAGGAGGGAACCATGGACCCATGGTCAAAGCATTATCCACCAAGTCACCAGGGCCACGTGAGCTACCACTTGTGCATTTCAGTCTAATCCATCTAGTCCATCAATGGAAAGAAAGTGTGAAGAAAAACCTAATAAAAAACATGCACCTAATAGTTAAAATCCAAGTGCTTAAGCTAAATAAACTAAATCTTAATATATGGTAGTTTGGAAGTAGTAATTCAATCATTGAAGGCCACTTTGTTTTAGTACTTTATAGTATAAGTAACATTTTTCTAAAAATATTGTATAACCTCAAACCTCTTCTGAGAATAACACGTGATAACACAATCACAACTGCAGGGTTTTTTTTTATATAATTTTCTGTATGAAAGGAAATTTCATGCTTTTGTCTCTGTACCTGACAATATTCAAAAAGGTAAATTGTTCTCGATTCTCTTACACTTTAATTGGACTCCATCCGAGTGTGTGGATAAATGATCAACATAGTCGACTGATAACCTGATAAGTTCCTGATTTACATCCTTCGTGGGTTCATGGATGTGTAATGCTGTTAACGAAGAGTCCCAAACAAGGACGAAACAACTATCCAGTACTCACTAATGTTTTTCGATAGCTCTTCAACTAATAACAACTTGTGATGTAACTCAGAAACCTTTCAAACTAACACTTGAAATTCAAGTATTGGTATGTAGGGATTTGATTGGTTGCTTCCAGGATTTCGTCATGAGCTGACATTGATTAGAGAACCATTGGAAAACCAGCTGGGAGTACTGGACAGCTGCTTCGTCAGCTTAGTTTGGGACTCTTCATCAGTACGGGGTTCGAACCCATGATGAAATCGTGTAACCGATCAATCAAATCCCTGCAAACCAATACTTGAATATCAATGAGTTGCTCACTGGCGACTGGTCCTATTTAGGTAGATGGTTACCCGGGGTTCTAGTGGGAAGTCGTGATCAATAAGGTGCATTAGGTCGGGTAAGAGAACAAATATTCTTCGAAGACATTTTCTAATGGTTGCGTCATGTCATGGATCGGCTGGCAGAAGTTTGAATTCATGGACTGGTCATTGGATTGGGTCCCAGTGGCTAATGAATGGTCTACGAGCTTGCTAGCCTTGTAACCAGAAGATCCTAGGTTCGAACGCTGTCGGTGGGTGCGTACTGCTGAAGAGTCGCAAACTAGGCTGACGAAGCAGCTGTCCAGTACTCCTTGTTGGCTTTCCAACGGTTCTCTAAGCAATGTCAGCTCATGATGAAATCCTGTAACCAAACAGAATACTTCTGAACACTTTACTATTTTTCCTCTCCAGTGTTAGCTCTCACTAGTATTCTGAAACTGTTGAGTAAGAAGTAGACTTTGGAATTATCAATGTTCTTAGGGCGTAATCTGGAACTAAAGCTCAGTGTATTAGAATATACTTATCAACACCTTTAAGGTTCAATAAATATAAACGGAGATGGAGAGGGGGTTAACATTAGCAATAGGAAACCCTAAAATTTTACGACTTTCATAAAACAAAGTGATAAATCGTCAGAGGTTAAAAACTGTTTCAATCAACAGAGCAGTCAGTCAGTCATTCAGCCAATCAGAGACGTGTTATTATAGGTTTATTTCAGATGCGTCAGGAATCTTTCCAGTGATCTAAAAAAATTCCCTTCACTGATCGGAGGAACTGTATGGTGATTGTACAGTAGAGACTAGGCAATTTAACAAATGGTGGATGGTGACTAGCAATGGAAATCAGGATGAGCATTTCGTCCTATTTCAGACACATCTGCATTCCCCAGTCAGTGAGTGATGATGTTCCCACCGAGGCTCGAACCCAGTGCCCATAGTTTCAAACGCCAAAACGTTATTCACTAGACCACTTGGGTGGGCCACAGAGCCACTGCCTCTTGTGCAACGGGTCATATTAGTTATTTAATTGAATTTTAGATTCTCCCGTCGATTAATTGGACCAAATGCAGGTACATCCAGCTGGCGAGTCCCAAATAAGACGAAATGCGCATCCTTGATTCCACTGCTAGTCACCATCCACCAATTATTTTCTAATTACATGCCCAAACATCGTCGAAGCATCTGCACAAGAAACCGACATGTCAACCTGAGACCGAGCATTTCAGTTCAATCAACGGACGGGTAAATGTAAAATTCAGTTAAATTTAATAAATGCTTTAAACAGTGCCATCGCTAAGCATCTCCTTGACACGGATCATGAGGTGGATGTCGCAAGATAGTTCAAAACTATCAATAGGCAAAAGAGTTCAATTTTTCTTAACTTTGTCGAAGCAATCTCCATCAAGCGCCTGAAACCCTATTTATGCGTTCATAAAGAAGCTTTTATCAGTCTTTCCTTGCCCTGGTAAGTGATTACATAATGCTGAAAGTTTTCATTGTGTATGATTATTATTGTTCGGGATAAAGTGTTTATTATTATAATATGTATATTAGTATTGTATGCATTTATTTATTGATTGATTTTCGTTTAAAAATGAACTCTGTGCAAGTATGGGCTCCCCATTGGGTCCCATTCTGGCTGATTTCTTTCTAAGTGAGCTAGATAATGAAGCTTTGAACAACCTTATCAGTAAGCCCTCATTTTATTGCCAATAAATGGATGAAACCTTCATTCTTTGTGGTAATTATTCGGAGAGGAGTACAATAATCACTGAATTCAATGAGACTATAAATTCATGAATTTGTAATATTATCTTTCCTAATATTTCTGACATTCAGCTTATTGTTATGTTGATGCTATTTAGGTGTAATCTATCAATATTATTATTGATTCGATGTTATTTAAACAACATCAATGTTGTTCATAACATTAATTCATTCATTCACTGTAATGTGTATATATAACTGTAGAGCCTGATGATGTATTTATCGAAAAGAGTACGCTTTTTTCAGTATCAATTTTTTTGAAAATTTCAATGGGCATTTTTAGTCAATTAAAGTTGTTTCTGTAGATATACATATATACTTAATAATAATGAATTTGTAAATTATTTAAATTAATCCCAGCGTGTTAAGAAAATCAAAACAAGATTTTTCTGAACGTTTCGCTGTGTAAGCCACAGCTTCTTCAGCAGATTTATGAATTTGGCCTATAAGCAGTTGGCTGATACGAAGCCAACAAAAATAAGCAATGATTGATGGTACCATCGTCTTATTCTGCACAAACCACTATTTTTTTGTTCTCGCTTAATTCAAATTGAACAATACACTTGGATATAAAATTTTCTGTGTTTAAAGCTACACAGTCTGATCACTTTTACCTTGAAGAATACAACACCTTCATGTGTAACAATCTCAAATGACTGTAAAAACACATGCTCAATGCATTTAGAAATTCTTTTTAATTAATGACCCAAAGGACAATAGCATAAAATCAGTGTTAATTATGAAAATAGCGTCTTAACAAAGCAGAAACTACATGCATATATATATATATATAATCAGGTTACTAATATCAACACAGATAATACATACGTAAACATGCAAATAAAATAAATATTTCTTTACTTACATCGCCTTCTTCTCCCTCTTCATCTGCTTGTGAACTAATATCATTCTCTGATAATTTACTGGCTTTCTTCGTTACCATTTGCTGTTGTTGTTGTTGCTGTTTCGCTGTAAAATCCTCTGGTGATTTACGCCATGAATTTCGAAATTTTCTGTCGAATTGACTCACTTGAATTGAAGGAGGTTTTGTCAAGTCAGATTCATGCTTTAAATGATCACCATTTAACATAGCTGCAGGTTGTTGTTGTGCTGGTGGTGGTGGTGGTGCTTGTGACTTCTGTCCTTGTTGCGACGGTTGCTGCTGCTGGGATACAGGTTGGGGTATTGGTTGATGACGGACTGAAAACTCAGGTTTCTTCGGTTCTTGTTGTTGCAGGACTGGTGGTGCAGGGGCTTGTTGTTTTTTACTCTGTGAGGATTGTAATTCAGACAATTTCTGTTGAAGTAATTGTTCCTGTGCTGCTGGAAGCTCAGGTTTAGATGATCTGCGTGATTGCTGCTCCTGTGATTGTTGTTGTTGTTGTTGTTGTTGTGATTGAGGTTGTAAGAATTCTTGTAATGATTCATCTTCTTCCTCGATATCTTCTTCTCCCATCTCTTCTTCTTCTTCTTCTTCTTCGTCTTCTTCTCGAGGAGGTTGTTCATCTTTCCTGAAAGAATTTTGATACAATTGATTTTGTATTTGTTGTTGTTGTTGCTGTTGTTGTTGTAAAAGTTGTTGTAATTTCTCCATGACTGTTTTTTTTTATCTTCTCAACACTGTGATGAAACAAACAATCTAATGTGACAACAAGGTTAATTAAAATTTAGCTTTCAATATTCAATGTCCAATTCTCACTTTGATGTATGGCGTTAGTTAAAAGTGGTGTAATTTACTAGACAACTATATGATTGAATAAATCGTCATCATACTATCGTTGTAGTCAACATCAATTTCATTTGTTGTGGTGTAATGAATTTTTTTTTAATTTTTTTTTTGAAGGAGGAGGAGGAGTATAAAAAAAATCTCGTTTATTATATTATATTTGTATGTTTGTCATTGGTGTCTACATTATGTATGTATGGTGCAGGCTTAATTCTACTTATGTGTGTGCTTGAAAGGCATTAATTAATTGCTTCAACCACCTACTTACTAACTAACTAACTAATCAACCAACTTAACTAATTAATTAATTTGATGAATGCATCATGGATAGATAGATAGATAGACAGACATGTATCAGTCAATATTTGTTAGTATTGACCAATGAAAATTAAGGAAGGAGTTATTAATATTAAAACAATGACATTATCTGTGTCTTTGAGCGTGTGTGTGTGCGTGTGTGTGTATTATTGTATACATTGAGGGACTAAGTATTCGAAAGATTTTACTGCTGTTGCTCAAATGGACTCATGACTAGAAACGCCAACTGGAGGGGATTAGCACTTCCTGCAAAATAATTATAACCACAAAAAGTTTTAATAACCAATGCGATCAATAAAGTCTTCTTGAAATTATTATTTCTTTCTTCTAATAAATAGTAGGAATATTTCAAAAGAGTTCATCTGAAACACATGAACGCTTGCAACCCAGTCAACATGTAAACATGTAAAACTGCAGTTAGACCAGGCCAACATACTAACTTGAAGCAATTTACAGTTTTCTACAGTCTCGATTATTAAATATTACACAATTTCACTGAATTTTAGATTTTCCCATCGATTGATTGGACCGAATTGCTTGTACAGATGTTTCGACGATGTTTGAGCATGTGATTAGAATTTAATTGGTGGATGGTGACTAGCAGTGGAATCCAGGATGAGCATTTCAACGGGAAAATCTAAAATTCAGTTAAGTAACTAATATGAACCGTTGCACAAGAGGCAGTGGCTCTCGTGGCCCACCCAAGTGGTCTGGTGGATAACGCTTTGGCCATTGAAACTATGGGCACTGGGTTCGAGCCTCGGTGGGAACATCATCACTCACTGGGAATGCAGGTACATCTTCTAGCTGACGAGTCCCAAATAGGACGAAATGCACATTATCCTGGATTGATTCCACTGCTAATCACCATCCACCAATTAAATTACGAAATTTCATTAAAAATGACGTCTATTCATCAAACATTTTACGAAAAAAAGTTCTAATGAAAGAAAACCCTCACACTGCTACAATAAGCTAAGATTCAGTTGTTATTATTATTATAATAATTATTATTATGCTCCTGAATTTCGAGTGGAACATAAGGGTTCAACAGCACATCTTAATTTTATCCTTTTCTCTCCAGCCTCCTTCAGCCGGCCCGACGATTGTTCTCCTCACATCATCTCTCCCATGTTAACCTCAGACCCACACCCAACTCGTTGTTTTCGATTCGAGTTCCGCTCGAGGTTGCGCCTGTCATGAGACATTACCTGATGGTCTCCTCAGAGTGTCTTCGATCTACCTCCATTTCCTTCGGAATGTATGTTGAGCAATAGGCCTTTATAAAAACAAAATAATCGAGCAAAGAATATTCTTTTCGATAAATTCCTCTTCCAGGCTCTACAATTATATATATGTTTTTATACACAGAATATTTTAAATTAGTAGTTATTAACAATATTAGCGTTTTTTCAAATAATATCGATTTGTAAAGTATGATCAATGCTATTGCAGTTCATTAATGATGCTTAAATTATAATAATAATAAAGATATAACAGCGGATAGAATATCAACTAAAATTAGGGAAATTTCACAAAATTCTGGATTATTCAAACCTGGATGGCCAAGGTAATGATAATGACTGGACTAACTTCTTCTGGGTGCATAAATTAGGCTTATTAATATGAATCCCCACAGCCTCCGCAATATTTAGAAGTCGAACTCTTAAAGCGAAATTGAGATTCATAGGTATGCGGTAAATGACCCTGAAAGCATGATTAACATCAATCTTGTGTTCTGTCTCCACAAGATGCGCCAGAATAGCACTGCGAATAGATTTTGTTTGACCTTTGCTTAACCAGGCAGGGTGATGTTCGGAAATTCGACGAGAAACACGCCTAATTGTACGGCCTATGTAACTGGCTCCACAGGAGCAGTTAAATTGGTAGATACACATGGAAGAGGCGAAATTAGGCAGTTTGTCTTTTATTCCCGAACGCAGAAGAGGAGTGGTTTTGAAGATACAGCGCAATTGAGCAGCAGGGAATGTTCTTTTTACCGCATTTCTGAGGCGATGTGTTAGTATTTCACTTGTGTTGTCTCCTAGGAACTGCATCTGCAAGAACAAGGATTTCTTTGGAACTGTTGGTACCTTGGATTGTTTTGGTTTTAGATTCATATTCCTATCAATAAACTTTTCCGGATAACCATTCTCACTTAGCAAACGTTTAATATTGTTGAGCTCCTCGTCAAGACATTCATCCGAGCAAATCTCTCTTGCTCTGTGGACCAGGCACTTTATCAGATTGCGTTTGTATTTCAAGGGCACAAAGCTGAGAAAATGTGTGTACTGGCCGGTTGATGTAGGTTTCCTATAAACATTTCTTCGTATTGTGCCATCCTCTTTTCTGGTCATAAGGACGTCTAGAAATGAAATACTAGAGTCTTTTTCTTTCTCAATAGTAAAATTTATTGCAGGATGTACCTCATTAAATTTATCCAGGATGTCCTTTGCCTCATTTTCGTTCTTCATAATCAAAAAAGTATCATCCATGTATCGACAATAAAATTCGAGTTCATTAATAACATCTTTCAAAGGCCCATTTTCTAGTTTCGCCAGGAAAATGTCGGCTAGAATGGGTCCTAGTGGCGACCCCATTGCCACACCGTCGACTTGTCTATACAGTTCCTTATTAAATAAAAAGTGGACATTCATTGTACATTTCAAGAGAAGCTCCTTCATGAAAGCTATAGGAATGCCAATCTCGATGTTTCGTCTTTTGAGTTCTTCACATATAAAGTCCACTGTTTCCATGAGAGGTACATTGGTGAATAAAGAAGATACGTCAAATGATATCATAAATTTGTTATCAACATTTAAATCTCTTATCCTTTCAACGAATCCAAATGTATCCTTTACACTATGTTTCACCAACTCAGTATGAAGGGGCTGTAAGAGTTCAACTAACCATTTGGCTACCGGATGGTATGGTGAATTTAGCATATCTAATACTGGTCGTAGCGGTACACCATTTTTGTGCACTTTAGGCGAGCCATATAGTCTTGGTGTGAACGTTCCGGTGGGTTTAAGTGACGTGTACTGACTCTGTGAGATGAAGCCTTGTTGTTTCAGTCTTTTCAGTGTTTCCGCTAACTGCATTTCTATCTTTTCAATCGGATCCAGAGAAAAGATTTTTTGGAATTTTGAATTATCATTAAGAATAGTATTCATCTTCTCAAAGTAATCCGCTTTGTTCAAGATAACCACTCCTGAACCCTTATCCGGTCTTGTTATTATTATGTTGTCATTTTTGCGGAGAGTATCCAGGGCTTCTCTATGTTTTTTGGTTAAGATACTATCTGAATTGCGTTTACTGTTCATGTAATAATAGCAGCAGTCGACCAGCGTTGATTTAAATCTTTCAACATCTTCAGTTGATGAGGGTGTAAGGCCTTCCGTTTGGGTGTAGAGACTTTCGAACTGAATTTGTGCATCCATTTTGTTGATTTTTACATGGCTGTCACAAAATTTGGGGCCAAGCGATAAAACCTGTAGATCCACATCACTAAGTATTACATCTGAAAAATTAAACACAAAACGATTTGGGTTCGGTGGAAATCTTGTTTCTGGTGTCTTGTTCTCTAGGCTCTGTACCAGCTTCAGGCGCTTCTTTTCTTTCCTATTGCTCACAATTACCTCCACATAATCCAAAAATAGTTTCTTTAGGTTTTCTGGTAATTCGTCGACCGCATGGAACCTTTCTGTCACATTCTTAGATAACTCAGTAATACTCAATTGAATTGAGTCAACTTGGTTTCGTGCATGGCGTTTAAGAGTCTTATCATTAGGCCGGATTCTGCAACGGCGTAGAGATTTCCAATAAGATTTTGGATACCGGTTTGTTTCAATGCACTCGTGGATAAAGTCAACAGAAGTCTTTGCTTCGCCGAGCCTTGCGCTATACTTCAAATACTCGTTGAGTACTTTTAACGCAAAATGATGCTCAGAAGATTTCAATATTGCAAAAATGTTCATTCAGACATCTATAAAAACAAAATAATCGAGCAAAGAATATTCTTTTCCATTACCTTGGCCATCCAGGTTTGAATAATCCAGAATTTTGTGAAATTTCCCTAATTTTAGTTGATATTCTATCCGCTGTTATATCTTTATTATTATTATAATTTAAGCATCATTAATGAACTGCAATAGCATTGATCATACTTTACAAATCGATATTATTTGAAAAAACGCTAATATTGTTAATAACTACTAATTTAAAATATTCTGTGTATAAAAACATATATATAATTGTAGAGCCTGGAAGAGGAATTTATCGAAAAGAATATTCTTTGCTCGATTATTTTGTTTTTATAGATGTCTGAATGAACATTTTTGCAATAGGCCTTTGATTGATTCGTTGCCAGAGTTTCTTATTACTAACTCTTTCTGACCTGCCATTTGACCTTCAGTAATGGAGCCAACGAAGCCAGCTGTTGATGAGAGTTTTCTTGCAGCCTGTTTGAAAGACTTTCCGTGACTCGTCAGCCAAGTTTCTGACCCACATAGAAAATCTAACTAACTGACTTAACATTAGTGTTTAAAATTCTTATTTTATTCTGTATGCTTAGGGTAGATGATTTGCAAATACCACCAACAGCAACAACAACAACAGACAACGATCAGCATAAATGGGAGGAAACTGATAGAAACAACCTCCTTCACCTACATGCCTACCTATCTGGGAAGCATCGTTTCAACTACAGGCGGACAGAACTGACTAGGGTATCAAAGCAAGAATCG